AGAAATCTGCGTAACTTTTTGAAGGAATCTGGAATCGAGTATTCTTTTATGACTTGCAGCTGTTCTGCTATTGGTCGAATGCCTTGATTGTCTACCTAATGCCGCAAAAATTTTGTAGTTTTCTTACTGAATTCACATTTACTTGGTTTAATGACAATTCCATATTCGGCTAGACGTTTAAAGAGTGCTTTTAAGTGATGTTGGTGCTCCTCAGGGGATTTACTTGCAACCAGTATATCATCGATATAATCGTAAGTGAATGGGAGGCCGTGCAATACCTGGTCAATGAATCTCTGAAATGTTTGAGCTGCGCCAAATAGTAGGCGGACGAACTCGAACAAGCCAAAAGGAGTGGTTACCGCCGTTTTGAGGATGTCCTTGGGCTCGACCGGTATATGGTAGTATGCACGAACGAGGTCAATTTTGGAAAATATCTGAGCACCTGCCATGTTATGGAAAAAATCGTGGATGTGCGGAATTGGGTATCTATCTGCTATCGTCTGCTTATTTAAAGCTCGGTAATCTCCACATGGTCGTATCTCTGTTGAGTTTTTCTTTGGTACCATATGCAGTGGTGATGACCATGGGCTGTTTGACGGTCATATTATTCCTAGATCCAATAATCTGTTGAACTCTGCTTTTGCTATTTGCATTTTAGCTTGATCTAAACGACGTGGTTTTGCTGAGACCGGCGGACCTTTAGTTACAATATGGTGTGTTACGTTGTGTTTGAGAGAGGCTGTGGAGTAATCGCTCTGTGTCAGTTCAGGAAATTTCTTTAGCAAAATATCGCACCTGGATAATTTATCTGTTGTGGCTACCATCAAGCGAATACTCTCGAAATCTGTGGAGATGCCTGAAATCGATAGTTTACGACTGGTATCTATCAATCTATGGTGACTAGAGTCAACTAGCAATTCGTAGTGTTGAAAAAAGTCCATTCCAATGATAGGAAAGGTTACGTCAGCGACTACGAACTCCCACTCAAATGGTGCGCTGCAATCAAAATTAAGTTTTTGTCTCCGAGTTCCAAAAGTTTTTATGGTAGAATTGTTCGCAGCCTTGAGAACTGATGCTGGGTTTAGTTGTAAGCGTTCGTTGGGTGTTGGGGGAACTACACTAATTTCTGCACCGGTATCTACCAGGAGTTGTGCCCCCGTTATTTTGTCTGTCACTCTGAATAGACGGCTGTGGGATGGGTGTTGGCCAGCGACCGCAGTCGTCACCGATCGCCGGCCTTTTCGTTTCCCAACGCCACCGTCTGTTGGAAGGCACACAGCTGTGTGCACCGTTTTACTTGCACACCAAATTTGTGATGATACCAGCATATAGTCTGTTGTAAGCTATATTTACGCCTATTGCGTGAGTGGCTACGCTGTCTTCTGTACGTTATCACAGGTTGTCTATTAACGCTCATTGTCATTAATTACTCAGTTAGCACGTCTATTTTACGTTCTAAGGCTTCTATGCGTTCGCTTGACATTTTGTCGACTACAGATGCTACTTGTGGAGATATCCGTTCATTCATTCTGTCAGCGGCTTCTGCCAACTTGTCAATATCTACGTCTTCATCTCCAAATGCTAATACTTGCTGAATGTTGTGGGGTAATCGTCTTAGCCACAATTGATAGAAAAACCTGGCGTCCATCTTCCAATCTCTTAAAATGTTACACATATGGCTTTTGAGTTGAGAAGGTGTTCTATCACCCAGGCTAACATTGCTGAGTAACTGATCGATAGCTTTCTGATCTGATAATGAAGCAACCTTAATAACCTTCAGCTTTAAAACATTGTAGGGAGTTTCGGCATCTGGATTTATGAGCGTATCCCGTACTTGCTCTGCTACATCGTCAGGTAATATGGAGCTTGCAAGGCCAAATTTTGTAGTCTGAGAAGTGACGTGGTTAGCTAGGAAGCAGTGTTCCAGGTGAGTGAACAGCAAATATGGGTCGTTAGGTTTAAAGGTGGTATGGATATGGTAACTGCAGCCACAGACCTTATACTTGAAGTGTCGTTATCAGTATTAAATAACATCATAAAAGTGCAGAAAATAATATATATAGGTGATGGCAAAATTATAAAAAGTGAGCACAAACAGAACAAATAGGGGTAAGTTCAAAAATGTCCAAGAATGGTCTGCTTACCGGAGGTACTTTTAGCAAAATTATCAGTAAATATATATCCAAATGGTATGCAGTTATGAAGTTAATACGATAGCAAAGATGATTAAATCCGCTGTGTATATACTTCGAAATGATTTAGTCGATAGATCAGCTATGTCAGGCTCACCAATTTTTGTGCTGCTCTATTTTGACCAAACTAGCGTACACGTATATCCTAGTACTTCTTCGCGTTTATAGTTGTGTCCTAACGTTGTGATTACTCGACATCCACAACGCAATTCAAAAGGCACTTGCGAAGGAATACGGTAGTGTATTATTGCAGTAATCAAAATTCAAAAATTGAGCGAGTACAAAAGTGTCAATTGTTAGCTTGCAATCTTTAGAGTGATAAACAAATCAAAGTCCAATTACATAGTGAAAGTATACTGCGATGATGAGTAGTAAAACGGGTCACTACACATTCTCTCCCGTCTTACTCCTCTGACAACTTGAACTACACCTATTATTATCATTATTACCGATATATATTATTCATATTATTCTTCAAATTTAATCAACTGACCGGCTGGGAATGCCGGGTGTTGCCGGCTTTAATTTATGAACACATCATAGGTGTGCAGAAGGAATATATGTGAAAGACCTATTATAAAGGAGGGAGGGTGGCGCATGCTGATCAGCAAATTTGGTAGTGGTCACAAATGTGAATCGCTCCGATCTGTAGGACAGCAACATGCATTATTTAGGCAGCTCGAGAGTTAAACATGAGTTTAGATACTGAAAGTATAAAAAACTGACTTCATAAAAAAATTAAAAAAACAAACTAACTAAAACAATAATGACTGTACAGTTTTAGCTTGTAAAAAAATAATGCTTTCGCTCCTAACATCTACAAGCCTGCTCAGTTTCTTGTCAAGATGGTATCCCATGGGCCATACACAAGTTCGCCACACATCCTACAGGTCACCATATTCAACAGGTTCTAATCCTTCTAGCCACCTCTCTCTAAAATGTCACTTATATACTTCGCGATAATCCTTCTACCCAATTACTATTATACTCTATTTTATCTCAACTTCCTAGGCCTTTAGTAAAACTGAAATTTACTTTTATTCTTCTTTTTTCTCATTCACACTCTTCTGTCGCATAAAGTTCGGTTGCTCTGGTGGTAAAAAAAAACAAAAAACATAACAACAGCACTCATGTTTGAGAATAACTTTATTTTCATAGAAAACGTCATAGTTTTCCAAGGTAAGACCAATATGGTTAGCATCATACATTGCAAATGTGCACTATCATATCAAGTGCTGTATAGCTTATTCTTGTATTTTTCTTGCAAATATACTTCCAATAATGTATTATTCATGATTGCATTTTATACCACTTTGTAGCTGTGCAGGACTTTCTCCTCTTCCTGAAATAGCGTTCAAGCACGTGGTTGTCGCTCAACTTTGATGGAAACCTTCGTAGAAGATTTACAAATTAACAAATACAAGAATCTGTTCCGATTGCTTGTACTATATAATTCAACCATTTGAAATTTTAAAAAAAGTGATAATCTTACTATTCCTTGTAAACGTTGTACTTACCTCAATATTGGTTGGCTATCGTATGCCTACAACTACGGGTTGAAGACGGAACGAAGTCGATTTTCCTGCGCAACCTGGAGGACTACTGTTTAATTCAATAATGATACCACATGGGTCGGACAATGAGTGTATTTATATATATAATATTTAGCTGTTCAAACATTATTAACTTGTAGACAATCTACTATTTGTCATTATATCATACTTGATCGTGCCTGTAAAAATGGCATGCATTTTCATGTAAATTTATGTTTATATGAAAATATAAATTATTATTATGTTGTTACGTTTTCTCATTTTTCTTTTTATATCCGTTAGTCTGAATAACTTCACTAATTATTATCTATTATTATTATCTCTTTTCTATTGACGACGATACCGAAGGACCAACTGGTGAAAGGATCAACTCCATTCGCAGTAGTAACAGCCTTAACACACCTCATACTAAAAACTACATATAATTAATCCCAGCACTACTCCTTTTGGAGTCAACCAAAGCTACGACGGTCGATTGGTGGGACGAGATACGCAGATGTTCACCGAAGATCAGGAACCTATACCTCACAATCAAGAGGCAAGCACAAAGAAATCAAATTGGTTTATACTAGCGGCTGGACTTATCCAGCATGTTGGTTGAAATTTCGCTCGGTAAATTTTTTCGTTGCCAATTCTTTAATAAAATTGTGTTATATGTTTTTTGGATTGATGGGAATTCCCATTTTCTGGCTAGTTATGTTGGTGTCCGCGTCATGTGGTCTGGCTGCGACACACTCATAGCATATTGGTTGCAACGACTAGTGTTTCAGGCGGACTGTATCAAAATATCGGTAAAATGAGGAAGATAGGATAGTTGGAGGGTAATGTCATTTACACAAATCGTTTACTCCTTGTAGAAGCTGCGCCTTTCGGCATAGTATCATTAAATGAAGACTTCATGTCTCAGGATATCAATACAGCCTATTTCCGTGTCAAGAACAGAACTTTTTGACAAAAGAATTATGTCAGCACTTGAAAATCAGCTGTAAATGCTAATAGAATCGTCTGTGAGAACCTAAGTTATCATGTAGATGTGCTTTTCACTCTATCTGTGGTTGGGTAGGAATTATCGAAAGCTGAAAGGTTATCTCTAAGTGGATTTCATATATATTTGCACTGATTGGTGCAGTGCAATATGGGTTATGTGAACTCAATGCACAAAAATATCTCATCTGTACTAATATTGTGCCATTGCTTGCTTAGCTGAGTAGCTCGTAAAACGATATTGGACTCATCTCAAGGTCAGACTGTTACTATGACTGCGCGTCACGCACCAACACAAAATAATTTTCGAATATTCCTTCTTTCTTTCCTCGAGTCTTCATACTGCTTGAAGTGCCTTTCACCTGTAACACTGATAAAAGATGTTGTTAAAGAAGTTGAACTATGCATCGGAATATCCAGTGATCTAATGCATATAAGCTTTATCGACAAGGGTAATAGTAATACTGAATTGAAACCATCTCTTTAAAATTCAGGGGACCTGCACAGCGATTTATCTTTGACTGATTCCAACATAGTGAATGGATCAAGTCTTCTTGTTACTACTTCAAAGCCTCTGGAAACTCTGTTTAAATCTATAGTGACTGGCGATATAAAACTTGTATGTTACTGTGTATCATATTTCTAGATCATAAATCAAGGTTTGTCAGAGTTTTTTCCTTGTCCAACTGGATTTCTCATCAATGTCTCGGTCAAGCAGCGGCAGGAATTTATCAAACGTCGACTGAATACTGCTTTACTGTTTTCCTCAGGTTTGGGCATAGCAAATGTTTGTAACACATTAATATGTTTAGGTAAGATTTAATGGCAATTGAGGCGAATTTGACATACAAGCTAACGTGTGGCTCATTTTTGAATCATTATTACTCACTTTGATAAAGTCTAACTGAATTAAACTTCTACTATTGGGATTACAGTTACGTAAAGTGATATGTTTTGACAGTTTCTCCATGTGGTTTTCTGCTCATAAATTTAGAAAATTATGTAACCCCTCAATAATAGGTCAATATCTCGGAGGACGTTTTTGGATCCACAAACACCGGACACACAAAATTGAAATTAGCTTTGAGAGACAAACAACAACATCATGTTTTTTATTAGCACACATATTTGGCTGAAGTTGGATTGTATGTAGTACGGCCTAAGCATCTCAGCATGACCACAACAGATTAGTATTTAAATACTGAAGTGACCAAAACAGCCATCTATTACATCTACAAATAGTGGAATATCTCTCTGCATATTTGAAATGATCACAAGCTTCGTTCTCATATCAATCGGATTTTTTCACTGATTATGTAATGGTGTTTTCACCAAAATCACTCATTCACAACCGGAAGCAGATGTCTCAGATAGCCTCATGAATTATAAATTATGTATTTCAACGGTTTACTAGAACACCAAGTACTTCCAGTTTATTAGAATAATTAAAGTATAAATAATAAATGTTATAAGATTTAGTTTGGATCAAAAGTAATAGTTGCTTAGGTTTGTAGTGATCACGCTGAACAGTTTAAATTTAATTATTTACTTTACTTATTTATAACAAATCAGTTATATTTAACTGCTAATGACAGGTGCAAATATAAACGCTACAACAAAACTTGGTCGAACAGCTCTACACATAGCTGCTGCTCACTCCTCCTCACCATCATCGTCATTCGAAGAAGTAATTAAAAATCTTGTGGAAAGAGGTAATTCAGTGCGATTAATTGCAATTCATTCTAAGTAGTATTTGTTGAATATGTGACATAGTCTTATGTTGGTTGATTCTTAGTGATATGATGAGCGCTGATTAAAAACGAAACAGAAACCCAAGCAACGGCAGGATTTCAATCAGCAGCCTCTGAATTACTAGCCCGCATTCTGCTAACTGATCCACACCACCTCACTGCTAACCAGGTTATTATTTCACTGCAATCACCCCGGATAATGAAATAGTGCCTGAAAGAGCTCACATGTGACCTCGAGTCGACCAGTAAGAGTTAACCAATAAAGTCAGTTGGGTAACAGTATAATCACAAACAAAGATGGGTTCAAAGAAGTGTAAGAATGTTGAACAGGGTGACTTTTTCTAAAATGTTGCCAGAATAACTCCCAGTTTTCTTAAAGAAGTGTTAGTAACCACTCAAATAACCAGCGTTCAGAGTCAGTATTACAGTGACGTCGAAGTTAGGGATAGGTTAGGGTTGGCGTAGTAGTATATTAGAGTTACTATGAATGATAGTTAACTTAAAAATGGGTTCAATAATTGCTTGTTGGAGATTATTTTAAAACGCTTTAAGGAAAGAATACTTTTGCCCTAATTCCCGAACAGCATCTAGTATTAAAGCTTAATTATGTTTTTATTTTCTCAGTTGGATTTGGCTCTATAACCAACCCAACTGGTCTATTCAAAGTTATTGGTGCGTTTATTCGACCAGAGTCTTATAGTTTAAAGGTGAAGAGGAACTCTAAAAGCCGCCAAATGAACAATAACGAACAACCTCAACAAACGACCGTAAAAATCTCTGAGTTTGTTGATAAATTATGCATTTAAATGTTTAGACTGCTTAAAGAGACGATTTCGCGTTATCCTAATCACTAATCATAAACCTATCTCCCAACTCTAATCTAACGGTTAACCTTAACCCTAGACGTTCAAAATGAACAAAATCAGATCAGCAGAAGGCTCCTGGTGTTGAACTTACCCTGCATTCATGTCTAGTAGCATGATTCATATGTTTTAGTGACTCAGTTGAGGGTCATCACTATTGTAATATGCAAGTAAGTGCCCAAAGCATTGGTATTGCCCTATCAGCTGATCAGGATATAGGCGTATCTGATTGGCCAACACAGTAAACCAACTTTTCATTATTGGTGGCTTTCGAACCAATAGGAATTGAGCCAGCGAAAACTTGCATAAAAAACATTCAAACTCCGCTAGTAGTCATTCAGACACAAACCATTATGAGTGAACTGAAACTTGGACACTGGAATTCCAGTGTATTCAAGTCGCCTAGCAACATGTCTGGCGAATTTAAACTTTAGACACCTAATAGGCGCAAACGTACTAGTGACTTTGAAACTCTTAGTCAGAACGAGGCAGTGAAATCAGGTAAATATATACCATATTAATGAAAAATGGTGTTGAAAGATGTGCAATGATACTAAAGAGGATATGCGGGTAGATTTAAGTTATATTATAGAAAGATTAAGGTTAACTTTAGTCCAGGGATAGGTTAGGGTTGCTGTAACCTAATTAGGGAGATATTAGGATTAGAGTCGAGTCAATGGAGAAGATTTACCCTCCAGGGCTACAGCTATTTCCAAGGTCATTGGTGAGTCCACGCCTCTTGGGTGTCTAAAGTTTAACTTTGTCTATGTCTCATACTTTCAGCCTCGTAAGACAATTTGTGGATTATAGTTTGTCTAATGAATAAATTATTCGATATATTAAGTGTCATTATTAGTATTCCCTTGGGTTTCGAGCAGAATATGGGGCTACATTAGCACTTCACAATTTCACTTTGTTCCCTGCAATTGTGTTTAGCTAGCTAGTTAGATGCATGATTCCCCACAGGCTGCCATTCTCCTCCATGTCATCCTTGAACCCACACCCAACCCGCCTTCCCCCACTCGGGTTCCACTATAGATTATACCTGACTGGCGCCCGATGTTATCCGATGGTCCAGTCAGTCTCCATTTTTGCTGAGTAATAGTTTCTTGATAGGTTCATTGCTACAGTTTCTTGTTGCTAATTCTTTCCAGCAGGCCATCTGATCTTCAATATGGAGCGAAAAGCGTAGTTGTTGATAAAAGTCTCCAGCCTATGGGTGTATGGTCAAAATATCTTTTCTCTCTCTTCTGAACTCACAGTTTAAGACATTTTTTTCCTAGGCTGTTCAAATGTTGTACTAGAATACCAATGTCCAAATTCTAGTTCACTCATAATCCATTTGCGTCTAAAAGACTTAGCAATATGTCCTACATACATACATACCATTGGGTATTTGAATGTTTTAAGCCTTAGGTTGGGTGATCGAATATCTCAACTGCCAGGTTCATGTGATTTAGATCAGATGTAGCGCAAAGTGATATATATATATATATATCTGTAAATGGGTCACCTTACATTGGTCAAACTACTTTCGTCCAGAAATCAGTTAACTAAATTTTGATTGGTTAATTCAGGTGTGCGTATGTATGCCTGTGTGTGTTTGTGGTTGATCTATTAACAGCGCTTATACACTTTTTAAAAGTAAATCATTCCCAAAGACAAAAAATCACACTTCTTTCTTTTTTTGTTTTGTTAAAATATATATTACAAAAAGTATTTCTGATAAATAAATGTTGCTAACCGCGTTCATTTATACATGATAAATTATGTGACATTCCTTTTGTTAAACTTAAAAAATTAAACCGACGTTATGTGAGATAATGTAATGATAATGAAATGTAACGTTTTAAAATGTTAGAAACTGAAAGAGAGAGAGAGAGAAAAAATGCATACCCTTGAAAATTATTTATCTGAATTGATAATATGTGAGAATTTCAGAAAAAAGAAAATAAGGACAGGAAAGAATTCAGGTGGAAGATATGTATATAGTTTAACCAGTTTCTCCCATGTGATACTGTCCTATGTACTGAAACATTCTTAAACACTGTCTATTTTAGTGGTTGGTAAGTAACCCCAGAAAAGAAGGGGAGTTTGACTGGCAGTCTAAGCGACCTTACTCAGTAAGAGAAGAAAACTTCCAGTGCCAATGAAACGTTAAAGCCTGAAGCCTTACCTTTCAACCGGATCTCATAAGAATAAAAGATAATGAATGGCATTGACGAGAATTTGTGTGTGTCTGTGGTTGAGTCATTAGAATACCCGCTAACCTCGTAACATGTGTGGGGTTTGGTTTCTGACCGATGTACCTACCTCTAAACCCGGTAGGGGAGGGAAGGTTGACTGTGAGGTTAGCATTCCTCTGCTTAAAAAAGAATACCATCATTGCTACGGAAACTTCAAAGCTAAAGCTTGAAGGAAGCTCTATGTTACACTCGGAACAGAGGGAAAATAATAATAAGCACTAGTTGATTCATATCAGTATTTGGAAACTACTCAGGGTTAGTCAGCAGTGATTGCTGATTAAGCCCAAGGTGCCGAATCGGTGTAAACCACCTGAATTCCTCCTAACTGGCAAATTGCACAGTTCCCAGTGTTCTGATCACCTGGATCTGGTTGACAGGTACTAATGCATGACGTGTGTGGTTTCCAACCACTTGATATCAATCAACAGTGTATAATTATCAAGTTATCCAAACTTTTTGTGAAAGGAAAATTTCGTTATTCTCTTTTCAAGATTGATCACGAACTAAATCCAGCTAGAGGAAAATTGGAAAACCAGAGAGCAATGCTGGACAGCTGTTTTGTCCCTGTTTGGGGCTTTTCAGCAATAAACAACCACAATCCCTTCTGGAATTGAACGCACGACCTTCAGTGGCTGATATGATCAGCCATTGGGAGTGAGTCTAGCGGTTCATCAGTTATCAGTTCTACCATATATATAGCCATATATAGCATAACCAACCGTCAGCCAGTGTCACTGGAGATTGACTGTCCTCTTACCTGACTTTCCAGACCCCGTTGGTAGCAAATTCCCACTTGAATTTTAGATTAATTCATCTTGTAGTGCATCACTAATAATAAGAATAATAATCTACTTTATTCAAAAAATAGTACTTATAATACAGAATGGAATTTTCAGCATTTGTAACACCACCTTGCACCTGATTTACTCAAAATAAAAATTAAATTAAAAATTAAAACAAAATTAACCGAAGGAATTTGTCCACATTTACGACATAAAGTCAAAAATATTCGAAGTACGAATTGAGATTATTAGATATTTTAATAATAATAATAATAACATTGAGTTTGTTTCAAACGGTATTGTCGATTCAGTTTGGAAACTTTAGCATGTTATAGATTACTGAATCTAATGTTCTGTTGATACAGTATAGTGAGGGGAAATACAAAATTAACAGTTAAAATACCGCTTAAATTATGTCCACACTTATGAAGAAAAATAAACAAAGAAAAAATTGAGAGGATTATAAATATAAGAAATACAATAACAATAAAGTTTGATGCTTTAAGGGTGAAGGAAATGGTTTATTTAGTGGTGCTAAGAAGGTTGGTTAGTTCATGTCTGACACTATTTTCATCATATGAAGTACGTGCTAAATATGGTATAGTGGAATTTTTATACTTAGACGTACGTGCATAAATTCTTCTGAAAAGATTTTTGTTTTACTTGAGGAGACACAAGGTTGGAGCTGTGGATAGAGTGGGTGCTCAGAGTCTGACGAAATTCCTTTAGCGAATTTGTTGCAAATTCGCAGGGTCCACAGAGTTAGGTTTAAGGACAAGTATCCACTGACGACATTGGCTAGTGATTGTGCTATCCATCGCGAACTGACAGAAGTTAAAATTGATGGGTCGTTCGACTCGCACCCCAATGACTCGATCGATGGCCTACGAGCCCACCTTGTAACCTGTAGGTCCTGCGTTTGATCCCCGATAGTGTCATGGGTGTGTAGTGCTGTACCATCCCAAACTAAGACAAAACAGTTGTCCATTGCTACCTGATTTTCAATGGTTCTCTAACTGAAATCATTCCGAAATGAGTCTAAAAATTATTTTCTTTATCTGCTTTAGTATTATTACTCTTACTGTCTTAGTATTCATGAAGTAATTATAATAATAATAATAATAAAATAATCACTTTATTCCGAACAATCATACAGAATGGAATTTTCCCAGTTTAATAGATAGCTGATGAAACTGCCCAACTGACAGCAATTGTGGAAGAACAGTGACGCAAACAACCAGGCACATGGTTCCTTATTTTAACATTTATTTTACCCATGAACATTCGCTTGCGAATCCATGTAGATCTTTCTTTTCAGTGAGACTTAGTCGTTGGCTTAAAATTAAGGGGTTAGGGTTAGAGTAAGGATCAGGTAATGGGTTTAAAGCATTTTGATTCTGTATATTGCGCCACCACACACACACACACACACACACTCAAAGCTACATCTTACAGTATTTTAAAGATTATCTTCGTATATAAATTGGCTTTTGTTCATCTGCTCATCTTAATTAGCATTTTACTAATCAATTAATACCTCCTTAATATATATGGTTATTCTAATTTGTTACCCAATAACCCGTTCTTTCGGGTCTTGCTGTTCTCTAACATTTCCAGATTCGATCTAATGAACAATTCGATTATGGAATTGATGAAGATTTAAAATTAATTCACTTCGTTACGAACAAACATCAATTAGAGAGGTAATTGAAAACCAGAGAGTATTGGACAACTACTTTGGGACTAATTCAGCAGTGCGTACTCACGGCACCATCAGGGATAGAACCAGGAATCTTTAGGTTATAAGACCAAGTTCACTTATCATTCAACCATATGGACGGGGAATTCAGTGACACGTGAATTTTAACTTTAACAATTCATGCTATAACGCCACTCTTAACCAACACTATTATTTTTTTATATTTTTTATTACAGCTTGATACCACACCGTATTTTCAGTACAAGTATGGAATTTTCAACATGGATATCAGTAGCCCAAATTTTGCAGGCTGACCATAGATATCAGGTGTGCGTCGGCAGGGGATCGAACCCGGACCATGTGATGGTCGGCGAGAGTCCTAACCACTATGCCACCGACGCACTATCAATGATTATCCACTTCACCTCGGCCTGGTGAACCCTACTAGTCACGAATTCTCAGTGCAACTTTAGAACATCCATTTAGCAGTAGTCATCAGTGAGCTGAAGACTGATATTTAGATGGTGAGATTTTTGTGGAATCAACACTGAAAAGTCCCAAAACAGGAAGAAACAGCTGTCCAGTGCCTCATGGTTTTCACTTATCTCTCTTTGACTAATGTTGATTCATAACGAAATCCAACAAGTGTAATGAACAATTAGTTGGAAATTGAATGTCTATACTAATAAGAAGTAATAATATAAACTGTCAACTTAAGCAAATACATAAAATAAATTTTTTCGTTTAAAATTCTATTCATGTAGGCGCGAATATGAAACTGAAAGATGCTTTCGGTGAAACAGCATTGGATGTAGCTAAACGCTATGGAAATCGTCATACAGTTTGTTTGCTGCAACGATTGAACTGGTTACAAAGATGTCAGTCAGCTAAACCTCAATATTTGGATATACCGCTTAAAACTTTTCAAATGTGTGATTCAGCCAATCCAAAATGGCGTAGAAATATTAATGGTCAAATTTATTTACAGGTTGGTAGTAAATGTTAAATGATGAAAAGACACTTAGTTTTTTAATTAAGACGAGGATTGTAACGTAGAATACAAAGGTATCCATAGGTCGCTGGATTCTGTTCCAGGAGTTCAGTGGTCAATCCTTCTGCCTCGTAACTTCAGGGTCCTCAAGTATTGCTTTGTAGGGATTTGGTTAATTGGTTACAGGATTTCATCATGAACTGACATCGGTTAGAAAACCATTGGAAAACCAGTAGGGGGTACTGGACAGCCAGCTGTCTCGTCAGACTAGTTTGGGACTCTTCACCAGTATCAACCCACCCCAAAAGAGTTCGAACCCAGGACCTTCTAGTTGCAAGACTTCGAAACCAGGAAGAAATAGATGTCCAGTACTCTCCAAATGACACCATTTAGTGTTGTAATGGACATATATTAGTGTGATTATGTCCACTGATTGTAAAATGCAACCACCTTATATTGAAAGTCCAATTTGCACAAACTATTCATGTTCTGCCTCTCCTGTCTTCGTTTCATGATTTCCGATTGCGCGCACTGTTTTCTTATTTTCGCCCTTGTCTGCAACCTAATCCTTCACTCCTTTATATTCAAGAGTTTTGCAGAAGATGTCATATTATATAATACTTATAAAATTTTATCACTAGAATACGCTGCAGAATTAATGTTCTGAATAAGAATAATTAGTCAGTTACAATTAAATATGATTTTAATTATTTCCCTACTGTATTCACTGTGGGTTTCGATATTAACTCATGACTTTTATCAACAGCTGTCTTCGCTGTCTGCATACTGACGATCGGAAAGAGCTGGCCAGACAGAAAGGACAGGCAACGAGGGACTTTGAGAACAAACCAACTAGGAGCCTATTGCACAGCAATGAGGATGGACTGAACACAGGCTGAAGAGATCATTGAGTGATTTCGTGCGTCAGCCTGGCACAATCTCGAGTGGGACATGAATGGGAAAGCATGAGTTTGATATGGGTATGAGAGTGTAGGGGACTTATGTTAGAGTTCACTAGTATTACAAAATATGAGAAATAAAATTCAAGTCAATGGAATGTTAAGTAACAGTATATTACCAAAAATGCAACGACACGTTATATCAACAAAAGGGTTACTTGGAAATAAAGTTTAAGTCCTCTGCTACAAATTATTTATATAACCCACGGAGACGTTAACTGTTTGGACGGAGTAGGTTGTAGCTGCTATGTCCCGGTTGTAGAATTGTCTTCGGTTGAGCGTAGTGGACTTCTACAATAAATCCGAAAGATACAACACGGTGAGAGCTGAGCTAGTAAGCCGAAGAAATCAAGGAGAAGACGAAGTCTCCAACAGCAGAGTATATTTTTTTCAATCGTACACGGAAGCCAAGTGTATTTCCACAAGAAGCGTTTTAAGCAAAAATTATGTACAATATGTCTAATTTCTACAAATAACCAAAAAGTGTACAATCACATTGTTACGCACTCCACAAGAGTGACATAGGTCACAATGTGTAAGGAGATGAGAGACTATGGGCAATCACATGAAGTAGGCTAAAGACGATTGCAATCAATTGGATGAAATGAAGATGTTCGGTTGAAGTATCATGTTCCACTCGCAAACTAAGGGGAGAATACTAATTTATACAATCTCAAAGAGTGGGATATTTTCTTCTAAAAGTTTAACCTTGTGTAGTGAAATACTGCAGGTGAAGTATTGTTGTCTAACTATATAAGTTACCAGTGCATTTGGTGACACGGATTCAGATATACTGTCTTCAATATATTTATTATAACACTAAACTCAGTAGAGGAGACGGAGGTGAAGGCAACCAACCACCACCAACAGCAACAACAACAACCAGAACCAATCACCATCAAAAGGAGAGATTTCACAGAGGTTACCTCCTTCCTTAACTTATCTGGCTAGGAAGCATCGCTTAAACTACAGGCCGGCGGAATGGATGAAGATGTGGAAGTCAGAATCGGAAAGGCAAGACAGATGCCTTCATCAACCTGAAACCAGTTTGGAAATCTTCTGCTTCACTCACTCAGCATAAGGAACAAGATTCGGATCTTTAACACCAATCTGAAGTCAGTCGGTTCTTCTATACGGGTCAGAAACTTTCACTGCGTGTCACGGAAACGATTTCCAACAAACTAATTCATACTTTCACTGGCTCCATACTGAACATCAAATGATGGTCAGAAAGAATCAGCAACAAGAAACTCTGCAGTGGAACAAACCAACAGGCAAGAGCCGATCACTCAACAAATATGTAGGAGAAAGTGGAGATGGATGGATTGGGCATAGATTGAGGAAACCATGGAATGACATCGCGCGCAATGCAGGCCATCGAGTAGAATCCCAGTGGAAAACGACGAGTGGGTCGTCAGTGTGAAGGTGACATGGAAGAGACAGATGAGAGAATGTGGGCAATCGTGGACCCAGGTGAAGATCTCTGATAAATATTTCTACCATTTGATTGGAAAGATTTCATACAAAACCAACAAGTGGACTAAAATCAGGTTGACCATAAAATTAAGTGTTCGTAATTTAGATTCAGCTCAATTATATAAATAAGTTTATATTTGAATGTTACTGGACAATTCAAGGACGTGCTTTTCTTCGTTTATAAAGGGGTTCGAAGGTGGTAAATATAACAGCGGTAAGGCATTCCCCTCAGTTGCCCAGAGAGTCAGCTACACCTCCTTCTGGCTAAGGGGACTTACAAGAATCCAGCTCAACAACTGTACACCCTAACTTACCCTGTAATGGTCTGCAGAAATAAAGAAACAACTCCTTACGGCCTGTGTGTGACTATTATTATTATTCCCTTGGGTCCCGAGTAGAAAAAGGGCTTCAACAACATATCTCCACTTTGTTCCATTTTCCGCCGTCCTCTTCAGCTGAGTCCACAATTGCCCATAATCCCCCGTCTCCTCCAGCTCGCAAGATCTCTTTCATGTCACCATAGCAATGACAACCCACTCGTCGCTTTCCATTCGGATTCCACTCGAGCAATGGCATTCAATGCGCGCAATGCTATTCGATGGTCTCCCCAACGTATGCTCGATCCATCCCCATTTTCTCCTAAATATTTGTTGGGCAATCGGCTCTTGGTTGGTTTGTTCTACTGCAGAGTTTCTTGTCACTAATTCTTTCTCGCTGGCGATCTGATCTTCAATATGGAGCCAGCAAAACGGGTGGCTGTTGATAAAAATCTTCAGCAACCTGTT